AATGGATCCAAAGCAGGGAAACAACGTTAGCCAAAGTTGACAGTACCTAGATATGTTCAAAAATTATTTTCAGATTAATATTGGCAACTCTTCCATTGTGCCTCTGCCCAGAAAACTTCTTTCATTATTAAAAATCAGTAAATTTTAAAGAGTCCTCTAATATAGTTCAGTGGTTGCAGCTGAACTCCAAGCCCTGACTTTTTTTCTTTCTCTAACAGTGATAAAAGAGTCTGCACCAATTTATCTTCCTTCCTTTTTTTCTTTCTATCTGTCTCTGTGGACCGAGTTGGCAGCCTAGGACAGATTTTGAGATATGGTTTTGCTGCAGTTTTCTAAGCTGAAGTAAGTTGTTAGTTCTTGCGCTAACAACTGCAGCAGCATCGCAGCCTCCTCCCACCGTGTGTTTACGGGAAGAGCGACGCTCGGCATCACCTGCGACTCTGGACCTTCCCTCAGGCCCCGTCACCTCAGCCTGGATTCAGCCAGCGCCTTCTGTGCAAAGCCTGTTCTCACGTAGGAAAGTCTTCCTGTCCCCATTTTACAGATAGGCTTTTGAGAGACAGGAGGAATAAAGCCAAATGCTTCAAAGATATTTAGTGGAGGTTAAGTGCCGAATTTCCTTTGAAGGTCTAAATCCAAATGACAAGCTTGTGATCATGCAAGAGATAAATATTACCCATGGGAGCAGAAGCATTTGTTTCAGGGCAGTGTCATAATCACCACACGGTTCTTCCTCTTTCTTCTCCCTAAAGCTCCTACTGACTTCAAAGATGAAGAGTTATGGCCCATGTCCCACAGCACTGTGAACTCATACGTATATGCAGAGCTTTACCCACACATATATTCCACCAGGGATGCAGACTCAAGTAAAATTATTCAGGCTATATATGTGGTGCGGTAATTTCTGCAAGACTGGAACTTCTTTTCTATTCTTCTTATCTATTTTTCATGGTCTTTTTCTTTATCCTCAAAAGCATGACTGAAAAACACAAGATGTATGTAACAACACCAAAGATGGCATGTAGTGATTGAGGTTGGGCTCAGGCTGTACTGTCCATAGGACAGCTGTAGCCAACGATGAAGAGAAATATGGTGGCATTTTGTTCAGTAAAACTATTTTTTTTTTCCTTCAGAACACCTCTGAATTAAGTATATTTTCAAGCTTTCATGGGGAATATGTAAAGTGTGAGATATATATATAGTTGCAGTTGGTTGGATTCTCCGGGGAATGCTTGGCAGAGGTGGGACAAATAGTCTGTATTTATCTTTTTGTCAGGTGCATCCACTGCAAAGTAAGCACACCCCAGGAGATGGACAGTGCTATGTTCTTCTGCTCATCTAACTGCTACTTTTCTAGATGAAATGCAAAATTAGAAGTTAGAGTTCTTCAGTTCTTCCATCATCTACCCTGCCCCAGAACCACTTAAATTCTAGCACCAGCGGTCAGCTCGGTCATGGGGTCAGTCCCTCACACAGCGACACAGTGAATGTCTCATCTTCCCAATGTCAGTCTAGAAATGACAAATAACTATCATTAAATACAGAATCTATGAATTTTAATACTGAATTGAAACAAAAATCTTTGATGAAATAGAAGAGGAACGGTGAACCTTTTGGTGCATTCTTCAGCCCATATCTTTAAATTAACAGATTTCTTTTCCCTCTCTTCCCTCCCCATCCTTCCTCCCCCCCCCCCCCCCCCCCCAAAAAAAAAAAAAAAGAAATAAGAGCTCTTAAATCCTGGCTGCAGTTAACAGCTTCCTAATTGCTTGTGACTGTTTCTTGACTTTCTGATCCCTGTCTGGTGGTTAAGAATCCAAAAGGTTTCTTAAATCAACAGGAGCAGCTGCCTCTTGGAAGTGAGGCATGGTGTATGTCACACACTGTGGAAAGGAGCTGAGATACAGCAAAAGAGCAGAGGTGATTAATGGGGCTGGTGTCGTAGCTCAGAGTGTGGTTGCACTACTGTGTACAGCCATACTTACCCCACTCATTTATCTTCTGTCCTCTGCCACACACACACAAACAGACGTACACGCTGTCTTCTTTGCCTGTGATGGTGCAGTCATTAGAAATACAAGAACGTACAAGGTGCAGAGGGATCTACAGATGATGATGTGTCTCTAGAGGTGATTACTTCTCTCTTCTTGCTCTTCGGACAAGCCTGAGAAATGCTGACAAAAGGCAGTGCCTGGTTTGGAGTTTCTTTTTCTGCTCTTTGCAAATCCCTTCCCACAGAAGGGAAAGAAAGAAAGGGAAAACAAAGGAAGGAAGTGACTCCATTTTGTGGGCTGCATTTTACGTTAGGTAAGGAAGGGGAACAGCTGGGAGGAAACCTTGGGTTGAGTGTGGACACAGCATCACAAGTGATGGAGCTGCACGAGCTGAAGGAAGATGTGTGGCTTCTTGGAAAAGACTAAAGTCCGAGCAAAACTTCTGTCCTTGGGCTGTTTAAATCTCCAGCATTAAAGTTTTCACCTGGTTGGAGTGGGCTGCAAGATCATCCAACATCCAACATTGCTACGTCTGCCTTGGATAAGAATGGGTGACCTTGTGACCAGCATTGCACATCTGCCTTCCCAGAAGCGTCACAGAGAGCAGCAGGAAAGATGAGATTTTCCTTTTCCGTGCTTTCCAATGTGCTCAGAAAATGTCACCTTCCCCTTCAGTATCCCAGAGCTCCCCTGCATGGGCTCCACTACATCATCCCACCACCCATTAACCCTGGGTCTTGGTGCAGAGAAATTAGAGGCTTGTGATATCTATGTGGAGCCAGTTATTTTGCAGCTTTACTTTACAGAGGTTATTGCAAGTGTGAAATTGCTACTCATTCCTCAAATATTATCCCCTAGATAAAAATCTCCCACTGCCTTGCACTGGGAATTGAAGCTGCTACATCCTTTTCTGTTGTAGTTAGCAGCATTTTTTTACCTTTCCAAAAGCAGCAAGCTGTTCCCGCATCCCTTTGAGACAACTGCACATTCTTGTCAGGCAGTGAGGCAGTTTTCTTCTATATTAACAGGAAACTAGTGTCTCCAATTGGTCTGGCTTACCAGGACTGTTATTATTTGCTGAGTGCTGGCAAAGGACTAAACTGAGAACAAGGTGCAAAGTACTTGCTTGCCCTGAGGAGTTTACAGGACATAATGGAGAAGCCAAACCATCCTGGAAAGCCCAGAGGAAGGAATGACTCAGGGCAATGCAACAAGTCTCTAAGGAGGGACTTACTGTGAGAAGTCTGATGATTTGGCAAAGTCAGCTGGGAAGTCATCATGTTGCGAATCAAAGGCCCACCGGGTCTGTACCGCCCAGCAGGCCAGTGCAATTAAAGCAGGCAGGTTTCTGTAGCCAGCTGCATTAACACCAGCCACCATTGGTTGTGAAATTTGGTGCCCATTTCTAGCTAGAGTAACTTGGCACAGCCTTTGATGTGAATCCAGAGTGAGGCTTAGCCTTTCCCTATGACTATATGGTGAGAAATCTCAGCAACTCTGCCACCTACAAATTAGAAGAGCTATAGCTGAGGCTGCAAAGAGAAGTCTTCAGCGCTGGGAGAATGAAAATTAGTTCTTTACCTATCTAGGACTTGCTGAAAGTTTTGGGAGAGGCAGTATAAGGAAAGAGAATGGCAAGAGACAAAACTATTTGTGACAGAACTGTGTTAGGTAGGGTGTTAAAGTTGACTAAGTGGAAGGGTATGGAGTGGGCTGAAAGAAGACTAATAGCAGGACCCAGAAATAAAGTGCAGGAATTTGGTAGAGTAGAAAACCAGAGAGAGATTTAAAAAATTAAAAAGGTCCTTGCATCGAGTATTTTAGCACACTCCATGAAGGATGATCCCCTCATGGGCCATGCATGCAGTATTATTGCGACTGACTCAGATTTAACACTGGAAATCCTGGCAGTTTTACTTCTACCCTGGGACTTGGAAATCTGAATCTGGGTTTTGCAGCTTTAAGCTGCCTTCCATTGGTGAAGCAAAGCAAAGCACAGGAAGGTGCTTGGGTCTTGTAATCAATTATCAAACGTTCTCCACCTGCAGCACCATTCACTTCAGGTCCCATATTCTCACAGTAGTCTTTAAACTCCCATCATGTCAAAGCAAGTTGCCTATTCTAATATTCAGAGACTTGTTTGCCCCTTATAGCTTCAGTCTTGTTCAGTCCTAGTTTTGCTTTCTTCACTAGAATAACCTTTAGGGTTTCACCTCCTGCTGTGATTACGTCTGTCCCCACAAAAACAGTGAATAGAGGAGCTGCTCTTACGGAATTCCCTTATTATCCTAGGAAATAACAGAAATATTCTAAGGATTTATGTGTTACAGTGCATGGTCTTCCCTAATGAGATCTAAGAGCTTCTGAAGTTACAAGAAAAAAAATCAGTTTTATTCTGCTTACATCTTCTTGTATCTGGGTTTGCTAACCTTTCCTGTTTTTTAACTGTTTGGATTATTCAAAAACAGCATATACAAGCCAAATCTTGCAGTTTTTAACTCAAGTTTATGGTGATGTTGCCTGAGAACAGATTCAGGACCTGTTGTTGTGCTACTTCTCCAGTGAACTCTGTTGCACAAAGTGAGCAACCTCTAGTTGTAGTACCTGAACTCAAGTCTGCTGAAAGAATAGAGAAAAAAGTTAACTTCCTCTTCTAGCAAAAAGAACTCATTTTATCTTTTAATTGTTGCCCTTCTCCTTTTCAAGGTTAGAATTTTTTATGCATTCCCCAAATTATTAATAGTCTCAATTTCACACAAAAAAAAAGGGGGGGGGGGGGACAAGTAGCAGATGATAGCAATAAGTGAATCCCTAGGGTCGCACAAGCGCTAATCCTTTAGTTGTTTTTCACAAGCTAATGGTGTTCAGGTGTTTCAAATAAACTCCAATTGAAACCTCCAATGTTTTGTGAGTCTTTAACCCTCCTAACAAGCCTATATTTTGTGGTTGTTATGTTTAGTCTGGTCTCTCTGTTCAGGAGAACCATGCCTGTTTTTTCCATTGCAGGTCCCTAACTTCATCAACACAACCTTGCCACCCCATGAGCAGGTGACGGCTCAAGAGATCGACAGCTACTTCAGACAGGAGCTCATCTACAAGAGGAATGAGAGGATGGGCAAGAGGGTGATGACGCTTTTAAGGGAGAATGCAGACAAGAGCTTCTTTTTTGCTTTTGGAGCAGGTATGGCATCTGACACTGTCTTATTTGGATGTTGTGGATTGAAAGTAAAATAGAGATTTTCAGGATTTTTTATCTCTGGTCTTGCAGAAAGTTTTTTTTTTTTTTTTTTTTTTTTTTTTTTTTTTTTTTTTTTTTTTTTTTTTTTTTTTTTTTTTTTTTTTATAAGCCTGTTTCTAAAGTGCAATGATTGGAGTAAGAGATGGGTCTGAGCACAGCCAAGGTGTGAGTGGGCTGCTTTGCTTTGTTCCTTGTTGAGTTGAACCTGGTAGAAACATGAAGCTGTTACTACCTCTCATACTGTTGTTACGTTTGTCACCTTCTGCACTCCAGCTCCTTACAGCTGCTGCATGGAGGCATGATAGGAAAGTATTTGTGACGTGAGTGGTAGGACGTGCTCAAACTGCCTTTAAATCTGCCAGCTTGGGTACCGCTGGTGCAGGGACTGTGGAAATACAAAGTACAGGAGACTTGCGTGTTACTGAGTTGGGCTGGGCTTTGAAATCTTTTGGAATACTCTGATTATGCTTTCTTGATGTCTACATTGGCCCCTCGGGTGGTGAACCGGCACAGAACAGCTATTTTTGGCCTTGTGTGATGATATGATGTATGTGCGTGGCTGAATACCGGCTTTATAAATCATGCTGTAGAAGTCCACTGTGTCCTTTTGCATGTTTTAATTTTCTTGATAAATGTGTAGAAGGAAGATGTCTCTGATATTTCCATAAGTCTTTAGCAGTACATGCTATTGTCCTCCTTCCCTTCCTTCTTTTTCTTTCTCTCCTTCCAATGGAATTGCCTTTATCTGCACTAAGAAGATAAATAATAACTGCTAAGGCCTCTGTTCATCAGAATCTTTGAGCACTGGCTTGAGTGATTCTTCAAGTCCCCTTGACTCGAAGGCAGGTTGTGACTGTCATGCTGAGAACTGATCTGCTTCTCCTACTCATCTTTCTGGCAGTTTCTCATTTCTGAGAGAACTTTACTCCTCATCCTGTGGCTTTAGCAATGAACTTTGGCAACAACTCACTTTTCGCTACTCACTTCAGTGGGAATTTTGATTAAAGACTGCAGGGTTTAACATAGAAAGATACGTTCTGATGTATTTATTTTTTGAGTGTATCCAGACTGAATTTCCCAAGCCTCTTTAATCTCAAGCTTGCCTGATATCTTCTGTATGAGGAATTTTGCTTAACTGTTTTTACAGTAGGAAAATATATCACTGTGGTTCCAAAATTGGACAGGAATTCATAGATGCTGAAACTGATGGGTTTAAAAAACAGCTTGTCTAACCTATGGAGCTGAGTTCATCCGAGATCATCAAACATCAAGGCTTTGATATAGGTTTCCAGTTCAGGAAGTCCCTACAGCAGTAATTAGTGGAGCTAGGAGAGACCGGGAATCATTACACAGTGCCCTGTGCCTTGCAGACTTCTCTGGGTATCCATCACAGGCCACTGCTTGAGACAGGATCTTGGACTGGACGGATCGTGGACGCAATGCACTATGACTGCTTGTGTATGCTAACAGGGGAATGGAATTAAACATGCACATTTCTTTCCTTAGAAAGTCATGTCTCAACTGTGGGAAGTTTGGGCTCTTACTCTACCTACCTGCAAGCAAGGACACCAGCCTTGTCACAGCTCAAGACAACTTCACTTGTATTAAAAAATAAATATATAAAACATGTTGACTCTTAAAGAGCAGATCCTGGTTTATCTGTGATCATCCGTTTCTGGCTATGCTGAAAACAATCTTTTGGAGTGAGTATCCAGGAGAGAGCAGATGCTTGCAACAGGATTTACTAAAAATTGAGGTAGGAGAGAGCTGCTGAGAAACGCTTTCATTTGCCTTTTAGTGCTTTGTGCCAGTATCCTTTTGGCTCTTCTCACTATAGCAGCCCATGCCTGCCAGCCATTCCCACTTTAAATGCAATTAATTTGTCTTTTGTTCCGTGGACTTTTTTGTTGGTATAACACGCACTGAGAAAACTTTGAATTCTTAAAATGACAAAACTTTTACATGACTTAAGCACAAATGATTTTTCTGCTTTTATCATTCAAATATAACTTTTGTCCTGAAGCCTTGAAGTCTAATTGAAGGTGTGGAGTAAAAAGAATGCATATTTTTGGTTTTGGTTTAATACATTTGGTATTTGCGAGCTGGTCGTTAAATAATCTGCATATAGCATTTCTGCTCTTTTTCATCCTGCCCTCCAGGTATTATATATTGATATGATTGATATATTGATATGTAATCAATATATTGAGGCTGATGGAAATATTTCTGCTGATAAATGATCAAGCAGTTGAGGAAACAATTTATGTATTAATGTCTGCTCTGTGCCGAAGCTCACAATTCCGTCCAAATCCCAGAGAGTTTGGGGGATGCTGTTCTCTAGATTTACATTCGCAGTTAAAGTGTTCTTGTATTTGCTGTTCAGAGGCTGAGCAGCAAAGGCTTTATGAGGCATCTTTGGAGACGTGATCTGGTGCATGAAACATCTGCCAGACAAATCCTGGGAAGTTAGAACTACTAAAGGGAGGTACTTACTTGAGTATCCAAGTAAGGATACTCTACTTATAAAACTACTTATTTGTGTCTGCTAAATGAAATATTTTTACACCCATCAAAGGGTTTTGTTGTCACTGCAAATATTGTAACAAAAAATTATACATTTCTAATGTGAGCTTTTCAGTTTTCAAATGTCTGCAAAAAAAAGACTATACTTCAAAATGAGTTCTCCACCCCGTCCCCAACACCATGTCCCATTGCTCACATTATAAATGCATCAAAACACTTGCAATCTTTTGCTTTATAAAACACACACACAGAAGTGGAAATGGTCATTTACTCCTTCCATTTTCTGCCTCTTTTCCTCTATGAAAAGAAAATCAGGATTCGGTTAGAGTAGGACACAATTCTTCATCCAGCTCTGTGCCTTTCACTTCTTTCTTGACAGACTTTATTTGTTATATTAAAAAAAAAATCTCACCAAACCTATATTACAGTAACTGTACTCTAGCAGTGAAGCAGCATTTGTTCTTTATGAAGTAACTTTTTCAGGTAATAGGCATGATAATCTTCCACTTTGAATAAGAGTGATAAGATAGGAAACTTTTAAACAGAGTTAGAGTTTGGAAATATTTGCTTTGTTTGAAAGCTCATTCTGAAATGCTAGAAATCATAGGTACACTGTAACAGTGAAGTGCCTTAGACCTGATATACAGGCCATTTATAAAGGACCTTTTACAGTCAAGAAACAGAGAAGCAGCCAAGAGCACATGGGCTGTTAAAGAGAGTTAATATTTTGGCAACTAAGACTATACACATGAAGTCAATGTTTAAGAAAAAAATCACTCTGGTTTATTTCATTTTTATGGGCAAATAATTTTCAAGTAACACTTATGATAACAGATGGATAAATTTATGCCTGCAGTTAATTTGAACGATAATTTCCTTAGGATGTTTTACTTACTTGAATTTCTTTCTCTCTGTCTTTTATGAGAGCTGTCTGTTTTGTAACAGAGCTGAATTTACTACTTCAGCAATTCAGATGCTTCTCCAGTTCATGACACTTACTACCAGCCAAATCAGTAGGCTTTAGGACAGTGGCTTTGGAAATTAACTTTTTTTTAAATTATTATTTTATTTTATTTTCGGTGCTGGGAGAAAGATTTGAAATGCAAGTACTATAGGGGCTCTCATGGTAAGAGAGGCTCAAACTGTCCATGAATCACAGTCTGGTAGTGCGGGGGAAAAAGGATCTATTTTCCTACCGTGCAAGGGTTAGTGAGGCCTCTCTGTTTGAGGGGCTAGAGGAAACTTGGGCTGTTGTCTTTGGTTGATGGAAGAGCATGGGAAGAACAGGATGGTGGCCACAACTCGAAATGGAATCGATGCGTGTTAATGATACTTAATGCTTTGGACAATCACACCTCTTCTATTTAGATATCTAATTGTAGCTGAGCAGTAAGGTGAAGTGGCTGAGAGTAGATACCTAAATGTTGACAGATTTAGTTTAAATTTCTGAGGTATTCTGTAGGGAAAATAAGAGCCAGGCTCTGTCGTGGATGTTTGCCTACTCCCGTAAATGCAGCACAATTCACTGCACAGCAGGAACACCTGAAATAGATACTCATTCCCTTTGCATGTTCAGAAAAGGTGAATTCCTTCCTGCTGTGTTAAGCTGGCAGCAGCATAAGTAATCGCTCTGATCACCATAATTTACCTGTTACAATAACGTTACTCATCGTCTCCAGTAACCTTTGCAAGTGCTGTCTGATAGTTCATAATATCACCCTAAAGTAGGTCACAGTTTTTGTGGATGTGTTGCCACTGGCAAAATAGAATCATGTAGCTTGTCTACGGCGTGGAGCTCGTGGCAGAGCACAGGGAGAATAGAAAATTTCCTTTTTCTGGTCCTTGGCTCAAACTCTCTCTTGCCCAATGATTCACACAAAGGATTTCAAGGGGTCACTTCATCCCACTTCATTTTAAATACAGAAGGTATCAAAAGTAGGAACATGAGTGACAGGCAGCTCCAAGGGTGAGTCAGGTAGCTTATGGCGTGGATCACATCTAAGATGTGCTTTTTTTTTTTTTTTTTTTTTTTTCCCCATAAACACAAGACAGCCTTGGGAGACTGGCCAGATGTTGTAGCTGTCTTGAATCCACTTGCTAAAAAACAATCACAACCAAGCTGGAATGTGATGGTTATTGGACTTAGGGTTGCGGGAGATGGGAGTCTTTTGTCATAGAAAACCATAGCTCTGCCCAATAGCTTGGGAAAGGGAAGGAGGTGATGGATACGGTTTAAACATTAGCAATTAAAACCCAGAGAGCCTTTGTGGAAGTCGTTAGCACCTGCCACTAGATCTGGCACTCAAGTTCACATATGTTATTTGGAAGTGAATATCAAAAGGGAAATGCCTTGAGGCCACCATCTAAGTGCACACAGAGGAGCGGGGAGGAAGGGAGGAGGATGGATTTACAGATACTGA